AGCACTACATATCAACGATAAGGAAGTAAACAATCTTTTCTAGGTCGACACTCTTTAATTACTTCATTTTGAAGTGTTTTCTTTTAAAAAAAACTAGTTTAGTTTCTAATGCAAGTAAAAGGTTTGGTTGATTAAAGTAATTCATGTACACGAAATGAACGCAATAGTTACAAATCATATGAAATAAGAGATATTGTTTTAATACAATATTTACGTTGTATCCACTGGCTAGTGGACACAAAAAGATCTGAAACGTAGATAAAAGGTCATCGTTTTCCTTTTTGAAGACCTAAAATACAAAGTTGATGTGTATGAGATAAATCACGATTTGCTATCTTCACCTTTTTGTTTTATATACAAGGTCTTCTACTAAATGCTTCAATTTTGTAAGGGCATATATTTTTATGCATTTTAAAGAACTTACATGTACATAATTTTCAAGTTTATGTGTTTAAATATCACGCAAATTCTACTATTTTTCTTTTAAGAGATAATATGTGCAATTTAATTTGATGTATCCTAGCAAGTATATGTTTTTGGCATAAAACAAATAATTTGGTCTTTGTCTGAGAAAAAGTCCTGGTGTCCAAGGAAAAGGAAACATTCCCTCAATGATCATTTTGGTAGATTCATAATAATCATACTATATATGGAATCATCATTGCATCGGGGACCAATGTTCGTGGAATTTGTTGATCACCCTTACCCACGACTTTAAACCACTACAAAGAAAACAGTCCTGTCCAAGGATCGATTTATTACTTGCTTATTATTTATCTGCAAACGGGGTTTATATCTCTCAGTTGATTCGATACGCAAGGGCAAGCTCTACGTATGTACAATTTCTTAAACGAGGTAAATTATTGACAAACAAGTTGATGAAACAAGAATATCAGTAGCCTCGTTTAAAGTTATCATTTCGTAAGTTCTATGGTCGATACAATGACCTTGTCGGCAAATACAATTTATCATTGAGTCAAATGCTGACTGACGTTTTTCATACTAATTGTCAGGCCATTATTTACACACTGAATTGTCGACGGATTTTTTCCGTTATTTCCCGATCATGACAAGTAGCACACGGCGGGTGTGACCGGTCGGCAGGGGAAGCTCACTCCTCCATGGCACCTGATCCCACCTCGGATGTTTTGGAGGTCCGTGTTTGCTCTGCTCCTATTTTATCGAATCAACTGAGAGATATAAACCCCGTATGCGGGTGATGAAGCTGTATTACTGCATAAGTAAGGGAAGTTGACTATTGAAAAGTTAAAGTCATCACGTTTATCATAAAGCTTGGTTGTTAGATTACCATTAACGTCCTTTCCGAATAAAATATCCAAATATGAAACAGATGTGTCAGACGCTGTAGTATCTTTTATCTCAAGCTCACGGGGATATATCGTATCGACATAAGAATGGAAATAACAATTGTTAATTGACAATACGTCGTCGATATATCTAAATGTCGAGTTGAAGGTACCAGCAAGTGTTTTCTTCTTATCCCATATAAGATTTTGGACAAATTCTGCTTCATATGAATACAAAAAATAGATATTGTCAATCAGAAACTCAAGCATCTTTTTAATGTCAACTTCGGAGTACTTGTGTGTACAATCACAGTGTTTTTTAAACAAAATAATATTGCAAATGATCAATAACAAGGTAAGTAGATTTACGAGTTCCATTTTTATTGAAAAAATAGCATCCTAACAAATGATGTTCTAATATTTAATCTTATTAATATACTACCAAGAAACTATTTGAAAGAATGTCAAATTTCCGTTTCATTCCTGTTATCGAAAAATAGCTGTCCTAAATTCAAGTAATAACTTAAAAGCATTTTTACGTATACCACTTATCCTTTTGATGAACGTTTTTTTTTTAAATCTTCTGTTTATAAATACCTCTGTAGTTATCTGTCAAAGGATAAGCAGTTTGATGCATTTTTGATTGGCCTCTTCTATTCCAAAAATGACATTGAAAACTAGTTTTTCTTTACAGACTTTAATTAATTGGTAAAATAACGTCATTAATTATTTTGATTAAAAATCATTTTTTTAAAGTCATAAAACTATATTTTTTTCAAAAAAATGTTGATTGAATAATTTTCAGTCATTCAACGTATACGTATTCCATTTACCTTTAAATAGTAAAAATATTTATATATAGCACAAAAATTTTTAAATTATGAGAAGCATGTTTCCCTTAAAAATTGAAAGTGAATCTGCATCTACACAATAAACGTCAAAAGAAGCATCGAAAGCGTTAATGCATTCCAGATACAAAAACGATGCAAAGCTAGTACTTGTAAAGCTAATGATCACTTGGAAATAGTTGGAAATAGACATCTTTTAGAATTTGGTAACCCCAAAGAGAGAAGCATCCCACATGTAACATCCAGTCAGGTCTAAAATCACTTGAAAAATACATCAAAATGATGAACGAAAATCAAACCCCGGCCTCCTCATCACTCTCTACCACAATATAGGCTACCGTGACAATTGAAAACGTGGTTCAAATAATTTTTAATCCACACCATATCCAACTTTCTCGACCTTCTGGTATTAGAATGTGAAACAACAAAGTTTAATACGTACAGTACCAACCAGACCCAACCTGACACAAAGCAGTCCCAGAGCGGTCCCAGAGCAGTCCCACAGTAGTCCCACAGCGGTCCCAGCAGTCCCAGCGGTCCCGAAAAGCAGTCCCAGCGGTCCCAGAAAGCAGTCCCAGCAGTCCCAGTGGGCGGGGTTTATTAATTTAATGGGCGGAGCTTACTCAGAAATGAGATTACCAATAAACAATGTAACTATAAAAGATAATGGAAATTGATGATGCATTTCTTTCTGAGCAGTAACAATAAATATTTACAATTTTTGTGTGACAGTCATTTCTGAACTGTTCAGAAATCACAGTACGCGTATAGAAACAAATACTAAATATTGAACAAAGAAGGTGTTCACTCCAACTAATAACATGAATATTTAAACAAAATTATGTGGTATATTAATTTTTCACCAAAATAAATCAATTTCTTTATTTTCTGTGATTGATATTTGTTTCCATATTTATTTATTTTTATTAAAAATTAAATTTAATTATTTTTTTCTATCAGAATTAGTTTAAATAGATTTTATAATTATAGAGCAAGGCCGATTCCCATACTATATTCTGACTGCTTTTTTCTTACTGGAAATTTCTGGGGCTTTTGAAAAATTCTTTGTAAAATTTTGCCGAGTATTATATTTCAGTCATGACTATTTTCATTGACTTGCCAAATTGATTATCGTTAGCTTCTCTATGTAACAGAAAACAATAACACTCAGTTTTAAGTGTTTTATTATATAAACGTTCGAGTGTACATCTGCAAAACACGAGAATGGAACCCTCAGATTATGCTTTAAATTAATTAACCTCGAAATAAATCTATACACATTTATTGAAACAAAGATTTTTTGCAGTTCATAGATTGAAAATAGTGTCATTGTGACCAGCGTGTTCAGCGATGTGTAACGCTGATGCCATTCATTGACTTTCTGATAATCATGCCCAAAGGCGATTGAAACCTCAAGTCTTGACAACACACAATTCCCGATATTTTCAAATGTTTATTTTTTTTAAATAAATGTACCTTTTTAATTACTTGTTTATAAATTAAAAACTAATTCAAAAATAAATCCCCAAATACTTGTTCACATTGTTTATATAACGAAAGAATGGTAGAATAATTTTCATGGTCATTTAATAAAAATTATTAGGTTTTATTTGAGGGCGGTAAAAAATAGCATGGATAGCATGGAATGCGCTTTTTTTTAGGATGGTTTTAGCTTTTATCAATTAAAAAAAATCCAGCACAGTACTATATCTTACTGTAATAACATGTTTGTTTGTTTTTTTTTAAATAGTGCTAATGCAAACTTTGAGTACATAATTTGATAGCATTAGTTAATTAAATAAGCCTAGATAATTTTGTTTCAAACACTTGTATTAAAGTTTAATTTAAGGGATAAAAATCATCTCCTGACTTCCCTTTTTAATTACTTTCATTTTTAAAAATTAAGTCTAGACTACAATTGTGTAAATTTAGAGCCCTGAATACATATAGTAAATCCATGTATGTGTATATATATATATATATATATATATATATATATATATATATATATATATATATATATATATATATATATATATATATATATATATATATATATATATATCTACTTGCTAAAATTTTTTAAGAAATCCTTGTTCTTTTATTTTTTATCTTAAACACCACTCTGCTTAAAGTAAACAAAAACAACAACAGGGAGACTGCAAATTCAGAATACACAAGGGGCGGAGCTATCATGTCACTCAGAACCTCTTTCACGCATGAGTGAACAAAGCAGTCCCAGAAAGCAGTCCTGGGGACTGCTGGGACTGTTGGGTCTGCTTTTTAGAGCAGTCCCACAGCGGTCCCAGAGCAGTGACTGCTTTCTGGGACTGCTTAGGTGTCAGGTTGGGTCTGGTTGGTACTGTATTTTAAGGCATGATATGGTAAAAAATATTCAGAAATAATTTTTGCTGCGTTTTAAATTGAAAAATTCATAGTGTGAGAGACGGATAGAGAAATGTAGAGTAGACGCAAACTCTGTAAGAATGAAAAGGTTTATCAGGCTTAATTTTCGTGTAACTTTCCTTTCAGTAACATTCGTACTACTTTTGAGAACTTTGATTTTATCTGAAACGATTTATACAGATATTTGTTCAGGTAACATACTTTAATATTTTGAACTTTCATTAAACAGTTATTGTTCTTTAAATCGTATATGAAATAATTGATAACATAAACAAATGAAATTCCTTCACAGAATGTATGGATGTTGACGTCTCTCAAATTTGTAAGAAATGCATAAAATTCAAAGAAAAAGAAGGTAAATATTCGATCTATTGAATACCAATCTGTTCCTTTTTATTACTACAATACTGTAAACTAATTTCTTCCCTTTATATATTGCAGGAACGCAATCGTTTACATGTGAAAGAAAAATCATCTTTTTGACTTCATTCACAGATTTATGTGTAGGTAAGAATTCAATCGACAGCTTCATTAATTAATTCATGAAAAAATAAGCTGCTTTTACAGTTTTACATGTCATATATACCTAAATGAATTTTGATAAAGTTAAATTGGTTTATATTTCACAGATTGTAAGAAAAATGGTGAACATGATGGATTTGATTTTATGTGTTCAAGATGCACCGAATTTGCTGCAATAAACGGTAATATACATATAAGAGCTTTGATAGTACGTAATATTTTAATTACCTTTCTATGAGCTAAAGGGACACGGCAAAACAGGTTATGTGTAAATTCAAATAATAACAATTCCAATATGTTACAGAGTACACAGAATTTTGCAACATTTAAAAAGCAGAGAATAAATAATACCCACACATTTATGTACAATCATTTAATTCCAGTGTCCCCGACTCCATGTCCAACAACGGAATGCCCTTGTACACTAAGAGAGGAAAACATCAACACTACAAATACTACCACTTCTTTTTTGAAAGGCTGGTATATCAAAATATGCATGAATGTTAATTTTGCGAAGACATACGAAAATAAATAAATCGAAAAATACGAGGGTTGTCCGTAAAGTTCGTGGACAACATTGATATTTGCTGACAAACATTGATAAAATATATGAAACTATTATTTTCATTAAATTGATGTTTCAGTTTATTATTATGCAAGTTTTAATCACAAACAAAGCACAAATAGTTATATTTTATCAGATACAAAAAGATACACACTCATACCCGGAGCAGTAAAACGAAAATCCTTGCCTTTACTCGACGTCAAATGCTAAATACATTTAAATTTTCTCAACTCAGTCACCGTTTCACTCAACACATTTCTTATGTCGTTTCAACCAGTCATCAAAAATGTGCACAAACTATTCTGGTTTCATACATGAAATAACATTTAACAACTTCCTGTCTCAGATCCTGCAAATCATCAAACCTCTGTCCGCGTAAAACGACCGTATGTACGGAAATACGGCAAAGTCACGTTACGAACTTCATTTTTTTTTTACAGCACTACAATCTCGAAACGATGGTCTTCCTTCATGACTGTCATCCAGTAAACAGTCTCTTTCATCCGAAAATTTTCTGTTCCACTTAAAGAGGCTGGGGGGTTGTGGCCATTTTTAGACTATATTGATCTCCTTTAGAAGAAGAGCTCCATATGAAGATATAGAAAATGATCAAATTTTAAAACTAAAATTTTTGAAATTTTTCTCTGCCAAATGATAGTTGACAGCTTAAGATATCATATCTAAAAAATTAAGTTAAATCTGGTGGTTAGTTTGTGGTTAATTTGTTGACCCCCCAGCCTCCTTAAACACTAAAGAATAGATTACTTTACTATGATTTCCCGACTGTTTAAGGAATTTATGGGTACCTGTTGGTGTTTTTCCGATGTCTACACACAATTTTATCACTACTATCTGCTCCACCTTTTCCGAAAACGTCCCTTTTTCGAACAGTGACGAAACTATCTCAATAAACTCTTACCTCAACTTCTCTGCCATTTCGAAACTTTGGACGTTCAAATTTTACAGGTTTGACATTATAATTTTTGTCAACCTTATAATGTAAGGGCCATCCAAATTTCCGCGGAATTTAACAAAATACAAATGAAATGTATAAAGTAATTAATAACTTTTTAATTAAAACTTTGTTGTGCTCCGGGTCACCATCCCAAGTTTAATAATGAAGTCATAATTGTAATTATACACTTAGAATTGAATAAAATTTTTCATTTTGTAATTTACATAAAGTAAAGAATTATAAATATGCTAATAATAAATATATATGACGCAACTTTTATTTAAATTTTAACTTGTCCACGAACTTTACGAACAACCTCGTAAAGAAACTGTTTCTTTTCAATCAATATGAACTGCGATATCGATTCTTCATTGACTTCATCAGTGTAGCAAAATCAAAATGCTATATAGAAATTTGTTAATATGTAAAAATGACATAAATCAGGCATAGTTAAAAAATTATATAATGTGTTTATAGTGTTAAATCTAGACTCTAAAAAGGCATGGTAATCCAAGAATTAAAAGAGCACCTTACGCCGCGACAATTTTTCATGAGGGCACTTTCTAAAGTCTTTAAAATAATAAACATTTACTTTATGTACTTTAATTATCATTTAATACTGAAACTTTTATTGATATAAGAATTTAAAAGATAAATTCATAAATATGTGTTCAATTCATTTTCTTTTAAAGAATAGCAACAAAATTAACACATTGACAAGACAATTATTAACATAGAAAATGTTTATTTACATTCAAAATTTTTTAATCAAAAAATTATTAAGGTTACGTTAAAAAAAAGTAATAGGTGTGTAGTAATAGGCTGTCACATGCCCAAAAACTATTATAGTTGGGAGGTATGTTTTTCTTTCCTGATTGGGTTGTGTTTTTTGTGTATAAGAGGCAAACAACAGACATATTGGGTACTTGGAAAATAAATGCAGAGGTCATTCTCTTTATTTGGAAAAATAATCTACCAACATGATCAAGTGAAAATTGATCATACCAAAAAATTAAACTTGAATGCCATGTATAAATCGTTTATTTTTTTTCTGGTTTAGAAACGTTGAGCCTAATGGTGTCAACTCTGTAAGTTAGAACACAGCACCTTTCGAAGAAACTAACCTCATACTTTGTTTTTTTGAAGCCATTTCTCATATATCACTCAGTTTAAGTACAATTAAAGTTGATTTTATTCAGATAAAATAACTATGACAATTTAAATCTGTAGTTAACATGTAGGGATCGAGAGGGCGTAATAGGTTTTCAGAACCTTTGCTCAATCCCTTTGTAATTATAAATTACAATATAATATGTTCAAACCTATGGTGGCATATTTCTGCCCCTTGTGTGCAAGTTATTTTTTTATCAAATATGTCGACATGCAAGATAAATATGTTGACATGCAAGATAGTTATGTCAACATGCAACATAACTACGTTGACTTGCAAGAAAATTGCAATCAAATAAAACTTAAAAAAATCTTCAAAAATCTTAAATATCGCCCATATGTGACATCCAGATGCTACTTATTTATGTCAACATGCATTTTATTTATGTTAACATGCGAGATAAATATGTTGATATGCAACTTATTTATGTCAACATGCAACCTGGTTATGTTGACATGCAAGATAAATATGTTGATATGCAACTTATTTATGTCGACATGCAACATATTTGTGTCGACATGCAACTTATTTATGTTTACATGCATTTTTCAGATACAGTTCTGCTATGAATTTAACCGTAGACCTTGAAACATAGTTCAAGGTCACTCCACACCCTTTAAAAGAGACCTCGGACGAACAGACTAATTACTATAGGTCGCCTGCAGAGAGGGGCCCTAAAAACGTTTTATAATCTACGGTCACGTTTCTGAATCGCCAGGACATTTTAACTAAAGAAATTCAATTTATACTTTGTTGTCCACCTCATATTATAGAAAATAAATTAAACTGCAACATTTGCTCCAATAAATTTTCGATCAGGAAAATCAACTTCAATTTTACCAACAAAAAAATAAACAGAACCGTGCCTAATTGCATGTCAACATATTTATCTCGCATGTCAACATAAACAAATTGCATGTCGACATAAACAAATTGCATGTTGACATAACTAAGTTGCAAGTTGATATAAATAAGTTGCATGTTGACATAAAAAAGGAAGCATGTTAACATACTAAGTTGCATGTTGACATAAATAACTTGCATTCCAACATATTTATTTCGCATGTCAACATAAATAACTTGCATGTCGACATAAATAAGTAGCATCTAACATATTGGAAGTCACATTTGGGCAATATTTGAGATTTTTGAAAGTTTTTTTTTATAATTCTTATTTGATTGCAGTTTTCTTGCATGTCAACATAGTTATGTTGCATGTTGACATAAATATCTTGCATGTCAACATATTTATCTTGCATGTCGACATATTTGACAGAAAAATAACTTGCACACATGGGGCAGAAATATGCCACCATACAAACCAATGAATTATTTCATCGAAGCAATGAAAAAAAATAATGTCTCATTTCCCCATGTACACATTCTTACACAGCCAGAAATAGATCGGCCGCTCCTGCAGCCGATAATTAGGTTTTTCCTGTAAGAAATTTACAAGCCGTTTCCTGCTGCATGAATGATAGTAAGTCATTTGCGTACTATTCAGAATGCTGTGCTATATATAGTATAACTACACATTTTCCTATCAAATTTTCACTCATTTTTGAAAAGTAAACGTTATCTTTTGATCTCGACGGATTTAATTAATTGGAGCATGTCCTACAGTGGGTGCAACATTATCGCTGACAACATAATTGTTAGATGTTAAACTGTTATTTGTTACAAGTGGTAGCTGTTACACTAACGATTCCTCACGATTAACGAGATAAGACTTAATAGTTATTTAAGATGATTTTTTTTAAAAATAGGATTACGAAATTGTGATCGAATACTGCATACTTTATCAGATATCAAAGATACATGGGTAAAAATACTCCCGGATATCGATCATATGTTATATTCGCCGACTAAATTTTTATAGAAGATTTTAGATTTTTCTGTTAAGATATACCTTTCCAATGTATTGATATAAAATACCAAGACCATGATTAGAAATGACATACACTGTAAATAACTCTAGAAAAATTCCTTAAAAATCTTGAATACTAGTTTTACAGGAAATAAATGATTTCATTTCTTGAAGGATGAAATACTAGTTTGTTAATTAAACAATATAAATAAAGTTCTTAATCAATACATCAAATGAATAAAAAAGAAAACAAAAAAAAAAAAGTTAAAAAAATAAATAAAAAAAATAATTAGCGGATCATTCGACAGATAGCATGACTTACCTCATAAATATTAGAAAATATCAAATATAGATACTCTCTCTATATATTTCTTTTGTTTCCATAAAAATATTAAGGAAAGGCTAAAAAAGATTTCTTTTTCAATTTAAATTGTGATAAAAACTGACAAAACGAAATATGCACGGTTTTTGCCGCATGATCATGCATGATTAAAACTACAAATTAAACGACTGAACTCGATTCACGCAGGATCGATCTATCACATTACATGAAAATGACATCCACAGTATTAACTTGAAATAAACTTAAAACTGTACGTATTGAGAAAAAGTGTCCGAAACAATATACAGGTATAATAGGAAGACTTTTTTGCTACTTACTTGAAACATTTGTCACCTTATGAGAATAAAGTAATACTCTTAATTGAGACTTTCAACAGCTGCTTTTTTTTTTAAATTGCAGCTTCATTTTTTTTTAATTACTGAAAGGCAGGATAAAAAATCATAGCATATTATAAATACATGTACAAACTGGAGTACTCTAGTAAAACGGAGCGATTTTTAGGCTGTAAGTTTGAACTAAATTATTTTTTGTGAGACCTTTTTTCTTTTACAGTTTAATG